GTGCCGCCTTGTTCAGGGCAGCCCAGGCCCAGTGCGGGAAGAAGCTGCTCAGAAGTTGGAAGCCACGGGAGATACTGCCTAGTAGTGCCTGGCAGTGACGTCACCTGCACAAAGCTCTCAGTGATTTGCAAGTTACCCTTGTTTGCTTCTACTCTTTCCCAAAGTAGATATAGTTCCCGGTCTCTAAGGAGAGGGCCAGGGATTGGGCCTAGAGAATCTGATCAGATTCACGAGAATCAAGGAGTAGATCTAATTGATCTTTCTTGTATCTGATGGGTCTTATTTTGTTTCCAAATGCCAATCTCTACTTGGTTTCCAAAAGAAAGTATTTCACAGAAATTGAGGTGATTGCCAAGAAATAGACAAAAAACGGGTGCAGACGTGGCACCGCTCATCAAGCCATGCTGTCGAAGGCGTCCCACATATAAAGTAAAGGCAGATGGGCACGTATGTTAGCTCAGGGCTAAACTTCCTCAGCAAAAAGAGGAGGATTGGCAGCCGATGTTAGCTCAGGTCTAATCTTCCTAAAAAAAAAAAAAGAAACAAACAGACAAAATTTCCCAGTTTCAAATAAGATGATGTCTATTTTTAATCTAAAAGAAATTTTATTTTTAAAAGATTAATTAGAAAAAATAAGGAAATGTACAATCTCTTATCATTTTTGCACCCTCCTACCATATACTGAACATTTTGTTTTATGCCTATGCCTGTAGAAATACACGACACATATAAATGAGTGTCAAACCTGTTGGTATTCTTACTCGACAGAAAAAATGGTCAAATTACGTGAACAAATATGTCACAGAAATAGACATACAGACTTTCAGTATATGAAAAAATGCATATCCTCATTCATAGTAAGAGAAAGCAAATTAAAATTGCAACGAGATACTATTTTTCACCTGTCAGATTTGCAAAGTCCTGAGGCACGCTCTAGGCATTCACTGACACAGTGGTAGAAGTAAAAAATGGTGCTCTCTCTATTGTGGGCAAGTTGGCAATACCTAACAAAATGACCAACTCATGCTTTCAAAATGACGGAAAACACTATTACAATTTCAGCATTTCGTATAAGAACAAAAGATTGGATATGACCAAAAGGTCTATCCCAGGGAACTGAATGTATAAAGTGTTGACATTCACCAGTGAAATATCATGCAGCCAGCCCAGTGTGCCTCTAGACTCACATGCAAAGAGCTCTAGAATGTTTAAGGGGAAAGAGAAGTGCAGAAGAATGTGCACCATTTACCAGCTCTGTATAGAAGGGAGGAAACAAGAATATATACAGGCGAATATATTTATATATGTACATTCATATTTGCATAAATAAAAACTGTAAGGATGCACAAAAAATAAAAGTGTGATCAGTAAGAAGTGGGGGACTTGGAGACAGTGGTTGAAGCAAGATCTCTTAAAGCATTTTTCAGAGTGTTTTAATTTTTCAACCACATGCAGGTATTATGTGACAATTTTTATAGGGTCATGATATGCATACTATTTTTCAACAACACTTTCGAACTAATTTTACGTTTCTTTAAACAATCTACTCTTCTTGAAGATGTGTATTATACAGTCATGTCACAGCCTTTAGTTTATGTTGTAGCTTCTTGTTGGGCGTTTGTTTAATTTGCGGATGCTATAAATGCTGCTACAGTGAATGAGCATCCTTGCACACAACTCTTAGTTCATACATTTTGTTTCCTTAGGAAATCGATGGGTGCAATGGTGAGAACACTTTCCTGGCTGCAGCACGTTCTCCCTTGTGCGATCGGGTCTGTGATGGCTCCTCACTGCATGTGATCTGGGACAGCAGCGCTGGAGCTCAGGAGCTCTTTGAGTCACTTGCTGGCCTCCACCCCGGAGCACATTAGAATTACTGAAGGAAGTTTGTTAAAGTCCAGTGCCTGGCGTGTGATGAAGTCTGTGCCTTAGTAGTTTCTAAAGGCTCCCAAGAGGAGAGTCCCTGGGATAATGGATAACACAGCAGGTCTTAAGTCAGGCAGACCTGGAGTCATGTGGACTCAGGTACTACTCCATGTTTAATATCAAGCATATTTCTTAGCCTCTCTGAAACCTAGTCTTCTCATCAGGGACATGAGTGGGATACCCGTATGTGGTACAGTGAGAACATTAGACGTAAAGCACGTAAACTTACTAGCAGAATTCCTGATGCTCAAAAGTGGTAGGGACGTGGGGCTGGCCCTGTGGCCGAGTGGTTAAGTTCGCGCACTCCGCTGCAGGCGGCCCAGTGTTTCGTTGGTTCGAATCCTGGGCGCGGACATGGCACTGCTCATCAAACCACGCTGAGGCAGCGTCCCACATGCCACAACTAGAAGGACCCACAACGAAGAATATACAACTATGTACCGGGGGGCTTTGGGGAGAAAAAGGAAAAAATAAAATCTTTAAAAAAAAAAAAAAGTGGTAGGGACGTGCCATTAGTCAAACAAAGCAAAAGACAGCAAACAAGCGAAAAATAGAATAACAGAAAATGGCAGAGACCATACACTACCCAGATAAGATATCATGGCGGATGAAAATGTTAGGCTTCTAGTCTTTTGGGTGAATTGCATCATGTTGGTGTAATATCTCTGATGATCTCATTACTCAGAATTTCTAATTAACCGTTATATGGGATTTGATTAATATAAAGGGGAATGTCAAATATCACTTAATCAAAATGAAGTCCCTGAGGAAAATAATTCCAAACAGTAGGGAAAATTCATAACCGGGAAATTTTTAGAACTGTTGCCTCGAGGTTTCCCTTTGTTACAGTTGAGAAATGTATGGAGACTCTTGCTCTATAAAGACTATTGAGACATGAGTGTTTTTATGTGGAATTGTGTAAATCTTTGCCTAGTTTTCCGTTGCACACCTGTGGATGCATCCTGTTGTTCTGGTATTCATTTCATGCAGCACAGTGCAGTGGACTTCAATCACAGAGGGCCAATGGGTGGGTGGAGGTCAGTGTATCAAAGACTAACTAGGATGAAACATCACTCGGCAGGTTGGCCTATGACTCTGAGATTGTCGGAACAGCATGGGAGCAAGGAGAGGAGTGTGGACAGGCAGTGAGGCAGTCCTCCCCACCAGCCCTTAGCCTACTAAGGAGGGAAACTTTCCTGTCTTAATTGAAACTAAAGTGACCTGTTTCTACTCTAGGAGCAAATAACATAGAAGTTAAGAGCAGAGCTCCTGCAGCCAGGCTGCTGGGTTCAAATCCCAGCTCTGCTTCTTATCAGCTGTCTAACTAAGGGGACTTCTTTACCCCTCTCTACTTGCTTCCCCATCTATAAAAGCACAGACAATTGTACATATCTCACAGGATTCTTGTGAAAGTTAAAGAAGTTAACATTTACTTAGACCAGTACCAATGAGCACGAGACCAGACTTTGCTATTCTTACTTCATTGGGATGTTAATTGAATGTGTAAATTATACTAGAAAACTGATATCATTTTATTTGAACACATTCTTCTAAAGCTGGGTAAATCTAGGCAATGTGACATGGTCAAGAACAAATGACAGCCAGTTAGAGCCAGACCAAAGAGCTAAGGCTCTATCTATGGGCTGTGAGGTGTTAACTTCTGGGCCGGCGTTTCTCCCACCACGTCATGTGGCAGTCCTGCTGTGGCAGAAAAGCACATGACAGAAAAGGATGTATAATCTTCCTCCTACTTCATAAATGCACCTGGACCCTACCAGAGGCTTCCACAGGTGATTCTGAGGACCTTCAGGCCCATTCCGTCTAGGGGAGGAGCTGAGGACTCAGAATGGTGAACACAGACAGCATCTCAATGGGGCTGTTCTGTCTGATGCTCTCGGTCTTTGTCATTAGCATCCCCCCAAAAGCAGTGGCATATCTAGGAGACACACCTACAGAAAACAAAGTAGGATTTCCATACTGTTGTTATCAAAGGGACCAATAAAGTAATAACAGAGTTTGTACATGAGGAGAAAACACAGATGCACCTACAAGTCCTTCAGAAAATTCTCACTGTTGCCTTGGAGGATGCCATTAGTAGAAAAGCAGTGCAGATTTGCCTTTGTTTTCTTTTTCCCAGTTGACAGTGTTTGAAGGGAAAGACACCGATAGTAGGTAAGAAAATATTGGTCCTGAGTTCAGGGAGACCTGGCTTTAAATGACTATTGCTTACAAAACAGTGAGCTTGAGCGGAAAAATTAAATTCTCCAATATCTACACTGTGGACTATTATTTTACCTACCTTCAGGGGTTCTTAGAGGATTAACGGGGTTGCCTGGTGCATAGTAGAAGGTCACAGTCCCTATTCCATCCACAGCTAACCTGTCTGTGGGGAAATAAGATTACAGATGACTGTTGGTGTTTTGTGTGTCTGCGGATCTACTATTCAAAAGTAGAACTGCCAACAGTGGATGCTAATGCTGTTAAGGACTTGCCAGTACCAGGCAGTATCGACTCATCTAATCCACACAACTCCAGGAGGCGGGGTGCTGTAATTCCATTTTACTGATGAGGAAATTATGGCACAGAGAGTTCGAATAGCTTGCCTGAGGACACAGATGCTTATACTAGACCCAGGATTCAAACCAGACACTGGGGTTTCAAAGTCCAGGGGCTCAACCCCTCCACCACAATGCCTCTTGCTGTGAATGCAGGTCTCATGGGCTTGTTGTGACAAACAGAAAACACAGTGCTTGTGAAACACTAGTGTAGAGCTGAGCACACACAGTGAAAGTTGTGCTAGATGTTATACTGACACCATCAGAATGTCTCAAACCAAGAGTGTGTACCTGTTGAGCTTTGAAAGTGACATAACCTGGATACCTTCCTTTGGGTGTGGCTCCTCTTGGAGCCAGTGCTCCAAGGAAAGTGTCATGACCACTGTCTAAGAAGAATTAGAACTGTGGCATTGACCATCATTACAGCCAATGCTGGAACTGATAGCTCAGGTGTCCTGCTGTTTCTTACCCTGGACTTTCAGTTAAATAACATCAAATTAAACTACACACAGACAGAAGTAGACTTTTGAATTTTTATTGTGGCCGTTATGGAAAACAAAGTACAGAATTCAAATAGCAAAGATATCAGGCTCAGAATGAGTAAAATGGAAGGGTCCTAGGTGGTCATCTGGTTAAATGGCCCTAAGGGACATGACTATAGCTGCATGCTGTCTGTACTCAGAAGGCATAGGTATTTAGGTTGTTGGAGGAGCTGATGGAGATCATTGAGAGAGGGGTGCTACAGGACTACCCCATGGCCCTGCCCCTGAGTAATAGAATCATTCATTGTTGTTCCAGAGTAAAAGTCTCTATTTGCCCAGTGCTTTGAAAAACCACTACACAATAACAACATAATAGTGCACTGAAATAACCGAAAGCCAGAGAGAAATCCCAGCTAGATCCTCGGCAGACAGTTTTAGGGAGACTAAACAATGGAGAAAAGTTGAGTTCTTTGTGCCACCGTCTGTTACAAACTCTTTCCATTGGCACAGGCCGCTGTTCTCCTAAGCAAACAGATGGTGATGATGGCAAAGTAGACTGCGCTCATGAGGAGGAGGAGGAGGTAGCCGTAATAGGCATAGGTGCTGGTGAGCTGCAGGGTGTCTAAGAGAAGTCAGATGATTAGATTCACCTCTTATGTTGAAAAGATGGCATATATTAATGGAACCTGGTCAGTTATTTATTTCTGATGACCTACGTTGCAGTGACAGCCCACCACCCAAACCCAAAAGTAAACATCTACCCCCACCACCTCCACAGAAAACAACAACAAGACAACTAAGAATCCCATTTACAGGTCATGTCAATCAACAACCTCTGCTAAATTCACTTAGAACATTCCAAGATGCGAAAAGTAATGCTGTGTTTTTTATTGAATGAGTCCAATGGGAATAAAGTATTCGTGATAAATAGCTTTTAGCATTTCTTCACCCCCACCATGCCTCTATGTATTAATAATATCCAATATTCAGTAACCACTAACCAAATGCCAAAAACTTGTTCTGAAAGCTTTACAAGCAAAGCTTTAATCATATTTAAGTTTTACAAAAACCTATGAGATTTTGTTTTATGAGATTATTATTTTCATCCCCATTTTTCAAATAAACTATGGATAGAGAAGTAATTTGCCTGATGTCTTACATTTAGTATGTACTAGAGACCAAATTTCAATCTCAGCACCATGACTTTCAAGAACACTCTTAGGTCGCCTGTAATTCTGCATCTCCAAGTGCAATTAATACCCCAGACATCAAAGGGATAAGCACAAATATAAAGTTGAATTCTGATTTAGAAGCATCTGAGCCATTAAACATTCTGCATGCAATGAGATTCTTATGAAGAGTACGATCCATGGAAATTTGGTGCTGTTCATAATGGCTTGAGTATGAGGATTTATGAAGAGGGCATTAGATAAAACGGAGGAGAGTGTTAAATCCAAATTCTCTGAAACTTTAGGAGGTCATGGCTCACTCAGCTGTCCTTCCTAAATGTCCCTCATTGTGGCTATGATGATAGAGTACAATTGCACTTAGTGCCCTTTGAAGTTTTACAAGAAATATATGATGTCGAGAAATAATTAATGACAATGATGGTGAGCCTATTCAGACTGGCTATTCAGTGAACTGCAAAACTGAGTCTCTTCCTGTGGAAATATCCCTTTTACATGGTGCAATGGCCTTAATTAATTTTGACCCATTGTCCTCATCTATGAAATGGGGAAAAATATTGTACCGCATCATAGGAGTATTATGAGAATAAACCAGGAAATGGCTGCAACACACAGCACAATGACTTCTATGTAGGAAACTCTCAGTAGAGTCAGTTCATGTTATTAGATACCGGCAAGGACCAAAGACTAAAAAACAAATCCAGAAGCACCTTGATGTCCCATATTCTTCAGTCAGTAAAAACAAAAGGCACACAAATGAATGAAGTCCATTGCTGACATAATTCAGAGCCTATCACTGCACACTCTAATTTACCGTCACCGCATCCCCAAACAGGCATTTCCTGTGTTAAGATTACTCCTGGGAAGTGACAGATTGATTTAAAGTATCACTCACTCTACTCTTCAACATCCACCCATTCTAATTTTTCTACGTTAAGTCAGAGAAGTTTAAAAGTTAAGTTGTTCAGGAAGAAGAAAAATGCTATGGCATGACATACAGGGAAACATATAGAAAAACTTACTGTCCTCGTCTTTTACACAAGCTTCTATAGAATTAATAGCAGTGGCCTCTAGAAGAAATGAGAGAAACTGTTAGTCAGCTGCTCATGCCTATTATTTGACAATTGATATATACACATATATCACATATACACACATGTGTATATAAAATCTGTCAACAGAGAGACAGGGGAGATGTCATTAAAAATATGAGCCCAACCATTCCAGGAATACTTGGTCTCATCTACTATGAACCAGGGAGTTCAAAAGGTAATTCGATCTCGGGGCTGGCGCTGTGGCCGAGTGGTTAAGTTCGCGCACCCTGCTGCAGGCGACCCAGTGTTTCGTTGATTCGAATCCCGGGCGCGGACATGGCACTGCTCATCAAACCACGCTGCAGCAGCGTCCCACATGCCACAACTAGTAGGACCCACAGTGAAGAATATACAACTATGTACCGGGGGACTTTGGGGAGAAAAAGGAAAAAAATAAAATCTTTTAAAAATAAAAGGTAATTTGATCTGGAGGGAAAAAACTGCCATAGCATGGCAGGAAGGCAAACAGACACAAAATATGTTACTCTCTCTATATATAGTACAATAAAATATATGCATGTATAATAAGCAGCCTATAGACAAGAGAGACAGTCATTAAAAATATGAAAATTAGGAGCCTCACAATTCCAGGAATACCTGATCTTTTCTACTTTAAACCTGAGAAGTTCAAAAGTCACACTGATCATGAGGGAAAAATGCCTGTGGCATGACACCGAGGCAAACGCAGGCAATAACTTACTGCTTTCCTTTTTTGGATGAGCCTTTGTAGAATCAGTAGCAGTGAAAATTGAGGTGACAACTAGAAGAAAGGAGAGCAAGTTGTAGTCAATTATCCATGCCCACTATTCGACAGTGTGCGTTATCTGTCTATATGAGTATGGGCACACACACACATACTCACACATAGTCTGCTGACAGAGAGACCATCCTTAAAAATATGCACCCTACGATTCCAGAAATAATTCATCTGATTCTACGTAATTTAGTAGATCTTATTCAGCTATTATGCTTTTGCACAGGAAGATCTTGAACTTCATAAAGACTACATTTTTTTCTTCTTTATCACAAGTGGATGATCATATCCAAAACTATCTTATTTTCTTTCTGTATTCGCAGATCCTAGCACAGTGCCTGCCACAAAGGAGGTGTTGAAGAAATACCTGTCGAATGGAAAACTGGAGAGAAAATGTGACTACTGTACAGAGTTCAGTACGTACTGCTGAAATGAAGCATCGCTACCAAAATCAATTCACCAACTGTCAGAATCCACAACGGAATCTCACATTTGAAAGGACCTGGTTTAGGTAAATTTCCCACGAGAACAAATTTCCCATGAAAGGCATCGCATTAGGCATGCCTTTCCAGAGCATGTTATGATGTTTGTGGGCATGACAACAATACGAATAAAGCTCATAGCTATTGAGTGATTATTACTGCACCAGGCACTGTGTTAAATGTTTCACATGCATTTTCTCATTGAATGCTCCCGTCACACTGCAGTGAGTTGTATTTTGGAGTACTCCTTGTTGCAAATGAGGAAATAAGGTTGGGAGAGTAAGTAACTTGCCAAGCATCACAACAGTGATGGCAGAGACAGCATTCAAAGGATCACTGTGAGCAATTAAGTGAGATAAATCATGTGCAAAATACTTTTAAGAATAATCCATAGAAATAGAAAGTAATCTATAGAGAAACTTGATTCCACCATTGTGGGCACCAAAAAGGTCTTCTGTTCCAGATGTGCTAATACTCTTAGCAAAGTAACTTTTTATTACAGGAGGTCAGATGTCAGTGCAATTCTTTCCAAAGATAAAAAGACCCACACAGCCACATTTATAGTTCTATGAATATATAAAACATGAGGTGAGGCTTATGTACAATGCCAAAAAAAAAAAAAGAAGGCAAACTTACAAACATAAAAATTCTTTAAAGATAACTGACTGCAAGGATTATAGATGGTGGAGTAAGGAGACTCTGAACTCATCTCCTCCCACGAACACAAACAGTTTACAACTATTCTTGGAAAAATTCCCCTGGATAGAAAACTGAAAACTGGATAAAAAGAACCCCCACAACAAGGGACAGTCCTGACTAAGGCAGAAGAGGCAGAAATTCCTTATGGAGAGAAAAAAAAAAGCCACCTTCAGGAGCAGCGGAGTTTCTCAGCCGGCCTCACGGGTCCCACACTAAGGTCCACAGCCCTCCCTGGAGGAGTGAGGTCTTGAGCAGTGGTCAATACTGCTATAGGCATCCTTCAGACTGAGCAGAACTGAGATGAGGATCTTACTATCTGGCTTCACAGATTATTAACTGCAGCAGGGAATACCCCCAGAAAAGCTACCGGACAAAAGCCAAAAAGACCCGGGTCTTAAAGGGCCCATGCACAAACTCAACCGTCTCAGCAACCTAAAATCACTGGAGAGAAGGCTGACAGTCCTTTGGTGACAAGAGACTCACCTGGTGGGTTCTGGGTCCATCTCAGTGAGAGCAGAGACCTCTCCAGAGACTGAGACATTGGTGACGGCCATGGTTGTGACCTAGCCTATGCAAGCTGACACAGAACCTGGCAGACTCCATTGAAAGTCTTCCCCTGGCCTGTTAGCTCAGGGGTCTGCCACACCCACTAGAACACATATTTAATCCAGTTCAGCCAGGGCAGGCAGCCCGCCCTAGGCACTGGCCCCACCCAACAACAAGCCTTCAGGCTACTTGTCAGCCTACATTGACTGGGTGCCTTGATCCTCTACAGGCAGGGGAGTGTGTCCCACTCTGTGGGGAAGGGCCTGTGTGAGGACCAGGTGAACTGTGAGGGGCATTCGTGGAGAGGTGTGGGACTCTGCAGTGGGCTATCGGGGTTGCTCCCAGGGGTTAGGAAGTATGCGGGGACCAGAACTGTGTTGGCAGTGTGTCGGGCCCTGTGGGGGGTGAAGCTTATCAGTGGCAGAAAACCTGTGCTTCAGAAATAGCCATAAAAAAGGGGCTGGCCCCGTGGCCGAGTGGTTAAGTTCGCGCGCTCCGCTGCAGGCGGCCCAGTGTTTCGTTAGTTCAAATCCTGGGCGCGGACATGGCACTGCTCATCAGACCACACTGAGGCAGCCTCCCACATGCCACAACTAGAAGAACCCACAACGAAGAATACACAACTGTGTACCGGGGGGCTTTGGGGAGAAAAAGGAAAAAAAATAAAATCTTTAAAAAAAAAAGAAAAAAGAAATAGCCATAAAAAAGATCAGCCCCACCTTCCAAATCCTGAAACAATTGAGTGCCCCCATGCCTAGGGCCAGCCCCACTTAGCTGCACTTCTAAGAGAACTGACAACAGCCTTGTAAGCCTGAGGCCCATAGCAATTGTAAGCCCCTGAGCCCAGCAACCTGCAACACTGGGTACCTACCCAATTAATAGGAAAACTGCAACAGGAGTGTGCTGTTAGACCTTGTACCCAACAGTGCTGAGGCTCCCCAAACCAGATTCACAACAGCTGGCCAGGGAAGGAAAGACTAGACTCCCTGGGTACCTGCATTAAGCGCAACCCTGCCACAGCAGAAGGACGCAAGTAGCCCACAAAGCAGTCACTCCAGGATCATTTGGACTGCTTACGAGAGGGAAGCACAATGGTGAGCCTCAAAAGACATGTCCTACATAAAGCCACTTCTCCAAGATCAGGAGACATAGCCAACTCACCTAATACATAGATATAAGCACAGAGAAAGAAGCATAATGAGGAGACAAAGGAATACATTCCAACCAAGGGAACAGAACAAAACCCCAGAAAAAGGACTAAATGAAACAGAAATAAGCAACCTACCCAACAAAGAGTTCGAACAAAAATGCATAAAGACGCTCACAGAGGGGCTGGCCCCATGGCCGAGTGATTAAGTTTGCACACTCCACTGCAGGTGTCCCAGTGGTTCGCTGGTTTGAATCCTGGGTGCAGACATGGCACTGTTCATCAAACCATGCTGAGGCAGCGTCCCACATGCCACAACTAGTAGGACCCACAATGAAGAATATAAAACTATGTACTGGGGGGCTTTGGGGAGAAAAAGGGAACAAAAATAAAATCTTTAAAAAAAAATAAATAAAAAATAAAATAAACAAAGGTGCTCACAGATATTGGGAGAAGACTGGATGAATACAGTGAGCTCATCAACAAAGACCTAGAAAATATAACAAAGAACCAAGCAGAATTGAAGGATACAATGCTAGAAGTGAAAAAGTCACTACAGGGACATATTAGCAGAGTAGATGATACAGAAGAATGGATCAGCAAGCTAGACAAAAGACTAGAGGAAATCATCCAAGCTGAACAGAAAAAAAGAAAAAGAATGAAACAGAATGAGAACAGTCTAAGGGAACTCTGGGACAATACCAAGTGCACTAACGTTTGTATTATAGGTGTCCCAGAAAGAGAAGAGAGACAAACGGGAGGAAATTTATTTCAAGAAATAATAATTGAAAATTTTCCTAAACTAAGGAAGGAAACACCTCCAAGTACAGGAAGCACAGATGGCTCCAAACAAGATAAGCCCAAAGACTCCCACACCAAGACACATTATAATTTAAATGTCCAAAATGAAAGATAAAGAGAGAATCATAAAAGTGGCAAGAAAGGCAACAAGTGACATACAAAGGAACGCCCATGAGGCTATTAGCAGACTTCTCAGCCAAAACCCTACAGGTGAGAAGAGAATGGCATGACATATTTAAAGTGCTAAAAGGAAAAACCCTACCAAGCTAAGAATCCTCTATCCATCAAGGTTGTCATTGAGAATGAAAGGAGAGATAAAGAGCTTCCCAGACAAGCAAAAACTGAAGGAGTTTATCATCAAGAAACCAGTTCTACAAGAAATGCCGCAGGGACTTATTTAAGTGGGAAAGCGATGACAACAAATAGGGATAAAAAAATTATCAAGCAAAAATTATCACCCAAAAAACAGGTAATAAAATCACTGGTAAAGGTAAAAATATAGTAAAGGTAGCAGATCAATCACCTGTGAAGATAATATGAAGGTTAAATGACTAAAGTACTAAAATTACCTATTTCAATGATAAAAGGGTAATGGATAGACACACACAAAACAAGAGATTAGATATGATTTCAAAAACATAAAATGTGGGAGGAGGGTAGGGAAAAAGTAGAGCTTTTAGAAAGAGGTCGAGCTAAAGAGTATATCAACTCAATATAGACTGTTATATGCATAGAATATTATATAAGATCCTCATGGTAATCACAAATCAGAAACCTATAATGAGTAAACAAATAAGTAAGAAAGAGAAATCAAACATATTACTAAAGAAAACCATCAAACCACAAGGGAAGACAGCAAGAGAAAAAGAAAGGAACTGAGAAGAACTACTAAAATGCCCAGAAAAATAAAAGTAAAAAAATGACAATAAATACATATTTATCAACAGCTAACGTAATTGTTAATGGACTAAATGCTCCAATCAAAAGGTAAAGGGTGGCCAATTAGATAAAAAACAGATAAGACCCATTTGTATGCTACATACAAGAGACACACTTCAGACCTAAAGACACTCACAAACTGAAAGTGAAAGGATGGAAAAAGATATTCCATGCAAATGGCAAAGAAAAGAAAGCAGGGGTAGCAATACTGATATCACACAAAAAAGACTTTAAAAGAAAAACTGTAACAAGGGACAAAGAATGGCACCACATAATGATAAGGGGAACAATCCAACAAGAAGATATAATACTTGTAAATATCTATGCACCCAACATAGGAGCACCTAAATATATAAAGAATTTATTAACAGATATAAAAGGAGAAATAGGCA